ATAATGCAACCTGGCATTATTAGTCTTGTATGAGGGAAAAGATTTGCTCCAACCGAATGAATTAAGCATCCTTCCAGAGCACGTGTTTCAATTAGCTGTGAGTTTATTCCTGTTGAATGCATTCGTCCTTCCATCATATATATGGATGACTTGTATTCTTGTGTTGATAAACTTGGTATCAGAGCAATATAGTGTTCTTTTTTTCCCCTAAATCGTGAATGCAACTCTTGATATGCAGAAACAAGATGCCACATAATGGATCTTCATTTTCAACACTTTTTTGGATTACAGAAATTCATGATTCAAAACTTAACGCAAACATGCTGGAGTTAATCTTATAATAAGAGAACTTGCAGAAACATTATAGAAGAATGAAGTGTGTATAGGAACGTTTCTCACACACATTTATTGATTAACTCAACCAATTTTACACCGACACATATTTATACAGACACAACATGAAACATTGCAACTCTTGAAGAACCATCTTACCCCTTCAATATTTGACGGTTGAGATAATTGCTATAATTACCAACTAACTCACTCTAACAACCAACTAATTTTAACTGCCATAACTTCCAGAATTCTAACATAATTACCAAAATATCCCTAAGTCTAGATCAACAAAAATACACAAGAAATATAAAATAAATTATACATTCAAAATGCGAGCAAGATTGAATAATTTTATAATATTAATCTTAGTTAAAAACTTCAAAAAAATAAAATAAATTAAATTAAAAATCTCTTTAAATATTTATTTGTGGGAATCAAAATTGGTGGTTGCCTTGAACTGTTGTTATACAGAATTGGCATATGCACTTTGCCAACGACTATACTTTTTCACCATTTATCGGCTCTCGAGTTACCAGCGGCGGCTTTAGGGTTTCCGGAGGGTGCAAACGTCGGCGATCCTCTTGACGGATTGAACTAATTTTATCAGTGTGATTTTCGATTTCTAAGTGTTATGCTTAACAATGGAATTAGGGCTTCAACAAGGAATTCAATAATAGGGCAACCTTGATGAACGTAGTAGAAGTTCATAAATTTCTGCATATCTCATACATTAGGGTAACACCTATATATATAT